GGTTGGTTGTTGTCGCGGATCATTTTCGCGGTGCCTACGCGTGCAACACGTAGTACAAATCAGTTTTATTTGAGGAATTGCAGATCCAATGTTTTAGCCAACTCCCCGGTGCAGAGGATGTGTAAACTAACTAACAATCAATAATAGTGTAAGAGTGTTTATGTGAATTATATTTGTTTTATGGCATGTGTTATTTCTTATTTCTTATTTTCTTTTTCTTGTAATATTGTCCTGTAATTGATCTTTGTTGGGCAATAAAGTGAATTATTATTATTATTATTATTATTATTATTATTATTATTATTATTATTATTATTAATAATTAAAGACTGTATCGTTGTCTTAACTTCTATTTGATTTTTTTCAACTATTTCTCTTACAATTAATTACACTACAGGGTGTTTCATCTCAGACGAGCCACCCCGTATATTTCTTATCCTGTCCTCCATTGACTTCCATACAATAATAAATTCTCTCAAACTAAAAAATAAAAAAAAAATCAAAACATTTCCATATGTTGCCTTCATTGTTTGTTCTTAGAAGGTGTTTATCTGGTTATAGTACGTTTAAATCAATCTGTTGAGTTACTACTTTGCTGATTTGTTTAAAATTTTAAAAATAATTATGGTGTACACATTGCAAGAACGTGTTGAGCTGGTTAGCCTCTATTACCAAAATCAAAATTGTGCCCGAGCGACTGCAAGGATATTTAACCAAAACCATCCTGAACGTAGTGTTCGCCATAAGTACGTAATGGAATTGATTTCAAAATTTGTTGAGACGGGTTCAGTAATGGATAAAAAAAGGGCACCCATTGGAATTGTGAATGATGAAGGAGCAGCGGTGGCGGTTTTGGGACATGTCCAACTTATGCCAAACACGCAATCTGTACGACAACTTTCTGCAGAATTTTACATAAACACAAGTTCCATCCGTACAAAATTAAATTAATTCACGAATTAAATGATGATAATTTGGATCGAAGGCAAGAGTTTTGCGAAATTATGGCCGAGCGTATCAACAATAACCCAAATTTCTTGTACAACGTTTGCTTTTCTGACGAATGCATTTTTTCACTTAATGGAGAGGTTAACCGGCATAACTGTAGAATTTGGAGCGATACAAATCCTCATGTATTTCGAGAAGCTCACACTCAACATCCGGAAAAGCTAAACGTTTGGGTAGGAATTTTGGGAGACCACATAACTGGACCTCTGTCTTGAAATGCTGGAAAATGTGATTGATCTGTTAATAACAAAAAAATAATGAACAACAATCTACTGCTTGAACAACAATTGCATTTCCAACAAGACGGAGCTCCTCCTCATTACGCCGCACCAGTTCGCCAATACCTCAATTTGCAATACCCCGGTCGTTGGATTAGAAGAAGAGGTCCTATAGAGTGGCCTGCCCGTTCTCCTGACCTGAACCCTCTGGACTTCTTCTTGTGGGGACATCTTAAGTCCAAGATTTTTGTGACTCAGCCTGAAAATTTGGACGAACTACGCCAACGAATTGTAAATGAGTGTCGTCACATAACTCCAATTATGCTGAACCATGTTAGAGACGGTTTTCAGTCAAGATTGTATTATTGTATGGAAGTCAATGGAGGACAATTTGAACATTTGATTGAAAAACGCAGATTTGATTGTGATAAATAAAACAACATAATAAAACAATTCAATTTTTTTATTTATAACCAAAATATTCAAGATTGCTCATTTGAGCTAAAAAATTGATTTTTGGCAAAAACGGTTCATCAAATTTACGTTTTTCATACACCGTTGTAAAGAGGCTTCCAAGACCTTTCAAATGAAGTATCACTCAACCCCTCTCCCCTATTCAATTTTGAGGGGTTGAAGCACCCCCTCTTAGCGGGTTGCTCGTTCAAGCCTCAAATGACGTCAAAAGATGTCCCCCAAACAAAATCATTCGACGGGTTTCGGGAAACTTTTCTAATCACTATGGGATAAGAAATATACGGGGTGGCTCGTCTGAGATGGAACGAGCCACCCCGTATAACTGTAACTGAGACTAACGTAGCACAACAAACCTTGTTATGTTTGTTGTACTAACCTTATTACTCCTAACCTACTTAATATTAATAACAACATTTACTATTAGTCATACCTTACAAGATGATTCATCAGTTTACACAAAAATAGTGCCCGTTTGACAAAATTAGCAATGACGTAGACAATATTTTTCAAATATTGCTTTTTATTGCAGATGATGTTTAATTTTAAAGAAACTTTGACCCGCTATATGTATCTCGTTAAGGAGGCATTTGCGATCCCATGTATATTAAGACTATTCATCTTAATTATTCATGTATTACTTGCCCTAGAAGTCTGTCAGCGGTTTTTTGAATCACCCTGTATATATATATTTTTTTTTTAGTTAATGGCGAAACGATGTTAGTAGCGAAATATTGCAACTTCGTAAAGAAACCCGAAACTCTCCGAATCCCATACCCTTACATATTAATGATAAACATAAATGGAGAGCCTTATTTCGAATCAATTAACTACACCGTTGAATATACAACCCAAAATTGCGGCGGGATCATCACCAAACCGATCGGCACGATACAATCCCCCGAGTTCCCCAACACCCCATCAACAACATACGATTGCGTTTGGGTCATCGATTTGCTAGAAAATCAAGCTGTTAAGATTAACTTCACTTTCATGGATTTAGGACAAGATTGCGAAAAAAACTTCGTTAAAATCCATAATGGACCGCTAAAAACAAGCCCGTTAATCGGGACTTTTTGCGGAAACTCTTTACCCTCCACTTACATCTCGCAATCAAAAGGGATATGGATCGAGTATCATTTCGATGTTGCTTCAAACGGAAAAGGATTCCAAGTTAATTATGAGCCGGTTATCGGGGGTTGTGGAGGAGTGTTTTACGACACAAACCGATTTTTGCAAACACCTAATTATCCGGAGGAATACCCGAATGATATTGAGTGCGTTTGGGAGCTCCACACCGGTGATGGGTATCACGTTGGATTAATTTTCGATAAACGATTTCATTTAGAGACTAGCAGTAATTGCGAAAATGATTTCATCCATATTTATGACTTCAAAAATGGGGGTTGGGAGTTAATTAACGTGTTATGCGGAAAAGACCCCCCGAGTTTCATTAATTCCACCTCGACGAAAATGAAGGTTCTTTTTCGGAGTAACTCAAAGATTTCTCAAGCTGGATTTAGGGCCTCTTGGAGCGCGAATTGTGGCGGGGTTTTCGTCGCGGACAAAAACGCAATGACGATTTCAAGCCCGGGGTATCCCAACAATTACAAATCAAACCTGTTTTGCGTTTACAATATATCGGCGAATCGGGGTAACTTAAGGGTGGAGTTTCTCGATTTCAACTTAGAACATAGCGATGATAATTGCATTTTTGATAACGTTACGTTGTCTTATAAGGTGAATCGAAAGTTTATTAACAACACTTATTGCTCGATAACCACCCCTCCTTTTATAATAGTCGAAAATAATGTAATTGTAACATTTAGAACCGATAATTACATGAATCTGAGAGGATTCTTGTTGAGTTATAAAACGGATGAATGCGGGGGCGAAATAACGCAACCCACCATAATTCAACACGACCACAAATATAATTGGGACCAAACCGATCAAGGTACGAGGTTTTACGGATTGGAAAAACCCTGCGTTTGGAATATAATAGCTCCAGAAAAATCGCAATCCGTCATTGTTAGATTGGAATTGCTAAATTTGATATACACCTTTAATTGTAACGCGAATTATTTGATGTTTTTCGACGGACTCTCTCAGAATTCCAGCAATCGTTTGGCGAAATTCTGCGGAAATTATTTCTCAATCATCCACCCAGAAAACACCCCTATAATTAGCTCGACTTCGAATCAAATGACCATCGTTTATCGAGATCCTTCGATGCGTTCAGTCGGGTTTAAAGCTTTAATTTATTTTTCTTATGGCCCATCAGCTGGGTGTGGTGGGAAAACTTACTTAAACGACACCAAAACAGCAACAATTCGAGGCCCCGTCTCATTAAACGAGTTAGATTGTCACTATCAAATCGAAACCATGGACGGTTATTATCTCAGCTTAAAATTCATCGAACTCGATTCTTGCAAACTCAACACAAACGGGAGTCTACTCAAAAATTGTTCGTGCAGCTTTTTCGAAATTCGCGATGGTGGGGGGCCATTATCGGAAATAATCGATTCGTTTTGCGACCAAGATATTCTTCCGACTTACAAAACGACCAGGGCGAAAGTTTGGATCCGTTGGACGACGAACCTATTCAATATGGGGCGAGGATTTAAATTGGAAGTTACACCAATTTTGTGTAAGATCCTTTCTTAATCTTCACAATACATTTTTTATCGTTTTTAATTTAAAGCTGTTTGTGGGCCTTCCCTTTTGGTGGCTGAAAAAATACCCAAAGTGTTGGTGTCCCCAAATTTCCCCCAAACGTATCCGGGCTCGACAATATGTTCCTGGAAGATAGTTTGGCCCCAAAACGGTCCTTGCTGTATGCACCTGAAGTTCATTGAGTTCGATTTGGGGGACATCCCGGATGATAGCACAACTTGTCCGGGAGATAAAGTTGAAATAAGGGATAAACACGTAAGTATTTGTAGGGAGAAGGAAATTTTTAAAATGTGTTATGAACCTCTTAATATGCACAACTTTAAAAAAGTGCTTCTGGTAATAATTGTATTGTAAATAAGAGAATGAACCTTTTTGAGGTTATAAAAGAAGATTTGCTCTTCATTTTATCTATTAAAATGTTTTTTCTACGATTTATACTTTCTTTCAAAGAAATCTTTAAACGCAACATAATCTAATCTCTTATGTACTTACTAAAATGACATTTTTGACATGATTAACTTTAAAAATTTGCTTCTGGTAAACTATTACGAATAAGAGAATGAAATGTTTTGAGGTTATAAAAGAAGATTTGCTCTTCATTTTATCTATTAAGGGGCACACCTAGTGTGACCGCCTTAAAAAAAGGTGTTTTTCTTTAATTTTCTTAAAGAAAATTACTGGCTGAAATGTTTTAAAATTTTGAGGATATATTTATACATAGGTAGTAAGTATACACATAAATTTTCAAATGAAAAAAATTAATTTTCAGCGAGTTATTCGCTATCTCCCAAGTCACCAGGTTCTCCACTGCTGCAGTGATTGCAGCTTTCACCGTGGCTGAAATTAAAAAAAATAAACAGATTATTAAACTAGAAGGTATTGCCTATACAATGACCGACGATTATGAAAAAAAAATTAAAATTTTACAAAATGGCAGAGTTTTGAAAAAAATGTCGTATTTTGCTCAAAAATTGAATGATTTTTGGCCCGCCAATCAGGGGTGTGGAGTCGTCGCAAAAATACAGCGACTCCGACTCCGCATCCGACTCCTAATTTTTTTTTTGCTTCGACTCCGACTCCTGATTTTTTTTTTGTTTTAATACGACTCCGACTCCTCAATTTCTTGTTAATTCGACTCCGACTTACTGAATTTTTTATTTAACGGAAAAATTCAAAATTCGGTACATTGAACGGTAGAACGGGCGCCATCCAGTGGTACGTATATTTACTAACGACTCGATAATACAGTTCCGGGCCGGGTTCCGGGAACCACGGCTTTGTTGGATTAAAAAAAAACTTCATCTAACCGATTCTAACCTATAAAAAACAACGAACTCTCTTTGGCATTCGTTAACAACTTTCGAACTTCGAACCTCTTCAAATACCATTACCTGATTAATTGGTTATCATATTAAAATCATATTAATTGGTTGTCGATACGAATCTAATCTATTCCTCTAATATTAAGTATGTGAGTATTTAATATTGACTATTTTATTCATTATTATTTATTATACGATACACAGAAGTTTGCTAATAAAGAGACACAGTGAATTCTTTATGTTATTACGATTTAACCAATATACTTGATACTTCTATACCAATGTCGCTAATTTAGGAGATACAGGTTATTCAAGAAAGTTGTTTAAATTTATCGTTTGTTGATTGTAAAGGGTGGTACTTTTTTTTGTAAACTGAATTAGGGTCTGTGGAAGTTATGCATCTGAAAAAGCATTAAATTTTACATAAAAAGGATGTTTTTATTCAGTTTATTTATTTAGCATAGCAATGATTATGTTTCAAGTATTTATCTTCATTGTTAATTTTTCCTTATTTTTCTGAATGATAAATAACAACAGTAAAAATTTTCAAAATTATAAAAAGTAAATATACAAGGTCTTTCAAAATATGTATCTCGGAAAGGGTGCGTTTGTGGAACCATGTTTAATGGAAACTTTTTTTCTTACAATTAGGCAAGAAATCCCACCTTTATTTTCCGACACATGTTTTGAAATACCCTATATTAAAAATACTTTTTTGTACAGCATGTATGTCCAAAGGGCAAAAACGATAGATACATAAAGAGATCACTGCTGCTCTGTTGTCCATTAACAACGGACGCCGAGCAAAAAAGTTATAGTTATGAATGATTTTTTCCCAGTCGTTGAAATGTCACAAAAGGAAAGAGCTAAATCGGAAATATACAAATATTTCGAATTGACAGACGATAAAAAACATTATATTTTCCAAGTGACATGCATTATGGACGGCGCTAGTGGCGCTACTAGTGAGACTATTTGTGGAACAAAAATAAGCGCGTTTACCACCAATGACTCAAAAAATACTCCTACAAGAGCTTTTAATTTAAAACGCCATATAGACCGTCATCATATCAACTTATCAAAAGCGATTAATGAAAACAAAAATAACATACAAGAAGCAAAGGTTTTAAAACGATCTGCAAGTCCTCTTCAATATCCGATAGCCAAATATTTTAAAAGTGATAAAATAATAATAACAATGACACAAGAAACGTTCAAAGAATGCATAATTAACATGGTTGTACAAAACTCTGTGCCTTTGTCATTCTTTGAAAGTACAGCTTTTTGCAATTAAATGGAGAAATTGCTAAAAAACTTGATGTACAATTAGGAAGAGAAAACATAAGAACACTAATAATAAACGCAGCAAATATTAAAAAACTATCGCTTAAAAACAAATTGGAATCAAAATTAATACATTTAAAAATGGATGCATGCACTCGACAAAGGACAAATTATTTTGGTATTAACGTGCAATTCGTGGACGATAACGATAAAATATGTATAAATACAATTGCAGTTAAAGATACAAAAGCTCAACATGGTAGTGATTTTTTAAAAACACTAATAATTGACGTTTTACGTGAATATGACATTAAATTCCAACAAATTTTAAGTATTGTGACAGATAATGCTAGCAATATGAAGACGACTATTGATAAATTAAATCTAGATGAATCACTCCAAAATCATAAAAGTAACGAAGACAATGTTGATGACGAAGAAATTGTAATTGATTTAGAAACGGAAGAAACGGAATATATTGCACTTGCTAGTCAACACAAAATAAATCACATGCGCTGTGCTGCTCATACTTTACAGCTCGCAATAAGAGATGGTTTAAAAGAGGTTCATGCAACACAATTGATTGGCAAAATACGAAATATTGTAGTAATATTACGGAATCCGAAAATTGATGGCTTACTTAAACGGAAAGCAGGGAAAGGAGCAATTATTGATCAACCTACACGATGGGGTAGTACATTTGTAATGATTAAGCGTTTTTTGGAGTTGAAACCATTCATATCGGATTTGGTTCATCCTGACATTGTGTTGACCGAAGATATGTGGATCCAAATTATGGAATTGGAAACATTATTACGCCAACCCCACATTGTAACCGTACAATTGCAATCGGCAGATTTAACTCCAGGTGTATTTTTAAAGGAGTGGAAAAATTTAATTTTTAATCTTTCTAAAATTGAAGGACCGATAGCAGAAGGGATTAGAAGTTCTATGATTCGCAGAGAAAGTCTCCTGTTAGATAACGATATTCTTCTGGCAGCAATATACATTGATCCTATGTATCGAATATTACTTTCAGAGGAACAGATGATAAGAGGTAGAAAATCTTTTTATACAGTTGGATTAAGAATGTTTAATAACAACTTAGAAGATAATAAAGTTGCTGGGTTATGTGAGTCTCAAACTATTACAGAAACAAAACAAAATCAGACCATTATTGAAATTCTTGAAAATACAAATGATTTTGAACAATTTTTAGACGACGAAGAAAATAAAAGAAGTGAACCTCATTTAAAATCAGATTTATCTGATAATGATGTTGCATTATTCAAACAAAATTTTGAAAATGCATTAACATTGGTGGAGAGATTTAACAGATATAGTAAATTAACTGTAAAAGAAGCTATTCCAAAATATCCCAAAATAGTTCAAAATAGTGCATGGGCTGTAACCGCTTTGCCACCAACGCAAGTCAGTGTGGAACGGTTATTTTCCGCATTGAAAATAATAAAATCTGATCTGAGAGCATCGCTCAAAGATGACATTTTAGAAGCTATACTATATTTACGAACTAACGTTCAGTAATTTATAATTAATATTCATTTTATTTTGTGTTTGAAAATATTTTATAAAAACATTACATTTAATAAATATTGTGTATCAATTAGTATATAGTCGTGTGTAATTATGTTTGTATCATTTCTTTTGTTTGTGTTTTTATATCTTCTCTATTTATTTAAGTTAAGAAGTCGAGGTCGGAGTCGGATTAATTATAGTCGACTCCGATTCCGACTCCACATTCCTAAATTGATTAAAGACGACTCCGACTCGGACTCCGACACCTCACAAATTCACAGACTCCACGACTCCGAACTCCGACTCCGACTCTGACTCCACACCCCTGCCGCCAATAGTACATTTTTCATACAATCGAAGAACTGGAGGGTCATTGTACAGAGAAACATATACAAAATATGCAGAAAAAAAATCACAGCGATTGGATGATTTGTTTTCGAGTTACAACTGCAGCAAATTTGAAAAATGTAGTTTAGAGAAAAACGCGTTTAAAGATAAAAAATGATTGATTTCATTGTTTTTAATAGATAAAAATCATACTTACAGCTAATCAGCTATTCCAGGCCCATATAATTCACCTTCATCTTCTTCATAATGTGCCTGCTGGGCTGTTGAAGCACTTCTTCGAAATGATCGACCTTCTTTCGTGGCAGCCTGTTGGCGATGCTCTGCTACTCGTAATCTTGTTTCATCTTTGCTAGCGGCAAAATCCCTTGCTGCAGGTCCAATTATCACTCCCATCACGTTAAATATTTTTAAAATTGATGAATAACCGTCATTGAATATTGATGTAGCAAAGTAATTCGACAATTCAATAGTTTTGAGACCACTGTGGAGGTGTTTCGGAGCAAAGTGCCAAAGTAAACCATTGTAGCTTTCGTTATTATTCTGGGTATTATTACCCTTACATCTATCAAGCAATTCACGCCGAGACAAGTCCTTGTATATTGGTATCAGAACTTCTTGAACTTTCGGATCAAGTGGGAGATAATCGTGCTTGAAGTTCAATCCTTCAGCTTCCGCGCGGCGATAAGCGCACCAACTCTCTGCGCCTTCTGGACAGCTCGCATGGTTTGGATTCTTATCACTCGAACTCAAATGATGAAATGTAGCCCAGATTGCTTTATGCATTTCATCTACATTATCTTGATGTCGCATGATCGCTAGGCCGTAATACTTTTGAAGTTTATTAATTAAGTTGACAGTTAATTTTAGCGTGGTTTTACTTTTTCCTCCTAAGCTCTTATTGGCTTTCTTCAAACTACGGCATCGTGATCCCATTCTTTTTTTAACATGTAGATAGCACTCTAGTTTTTCTATCAGAATAGCATATGGATTCAAATCTAATAATCCTTTATATGTGGCACTATCACCATCACCAATATATCGCGAATATTTCACACCGTATTCACTAATCGAGCGACCAAACATGTCTTTCACACTGTCGACTTCCATTTTTGAAGCTGATCCTTTATGATTTATGTCACAATCATCTTCGTGTAGTGAGAGCCATTCTTCGTAAGCTTCAGGATCGCTGTCTTTTTTATTTTTCCAAAAGACACAACTGTGACAGTAAGTAGACTTTACACCCGAATCGATGAGTTACTACACCAAAACGTGAAGTATGCCCACGTTTTCTCCACGTGCCATCTCCAGAAACAGTCAAATTTGTATCTGAATTTTTCTTCTCTAATGTCTGCTTCTTCTCTTCTTCTACAGTTCCTTGCATACTGAATTTACAAATCGATTCTGCTGCTGTCCATAAATTCGTGAAACATCCAGCGAAAGTTTGATGATAAAATTTACTTGCTAAATCCATCAAACCGCAAAAAAGATTAATTCCGTTTATTCCCAAAATATTTATACCCAAAAGACGCATCACAGCCACTAAACGTCTATTTATTTCAAATGCATTTTCAATCATAGGCCCGGATTTGATGTACGAAACACCACATTCACACATCACAGCAATTTTGAAGCCTAAACCTCGCGGACTTGCTTGATTAAAAGTCACATCTTTTTTACAAGTTTTGCACATTACTAAATTACTAATTGCATAAAAAACCGAAACAAACTGAATAATGCAATATCCATGAGTTGCATCAATCACAATATTTTCATCTTTATTTTGTTACAGTTTTTCAGCGGACGTAGATTTCCGCGGTAGATTGCTCGAATGTATGTTGGTTTCCCGTAAACCTTCGTTTTCGTGAAACTGATCTACGCCTGGGAGTGTCTTTAGTACCTTTTTGGTTTGAATAAAGAGGTTTTTTTACTCATTTTTACTAAAATAACTGCTCAGTATAACGGTCACAGTAAAACTGAATATATCTGGCTCCGAAAACATGTGACGTAGTTATAAACGAAATATTCCACAAGGATAGACCTATTCGTACATTTCTGCTACAATTTAGAAGGCTGTAACTCAAAAACTATCTGAAATATTCATTTGAAATTTTAGTATGTTATTTTTAAAGGTATAGACTATCAAAATACGAAAAAAAAAAAACTCGACTTTTTCAAAATTGCACACTAGGTGCCCCTTAAATCAATCTGTTGAGTTACTACTTTGCTGATTTGTTTAAAATTTTAAAAATAATTATGGTGTACACATTGCAAGAATGTGTTGAGCTGGTTAGCCTCTATTACCAAAATCAGAATTGTGCCCGAGCGACTGCAAGGATATTTAACCAAAACCATCCTGAACGTAGTGTTCGCCATAAGTACGTAATGGAATTGATTTCAAAATTTGTTGAGACGGGTTCAGCAATGGATAAAAAAGGGCACCCATTGGAATTGTGAATGATGAAGGAGCAGCGGTGGCGGACTTGAGACATGTCCAACTTATGCCAAACACGCAATCTGTACGACAACTTTCTGCAGCTTCCGGTATTAGCCAATCTAACGTTTTCAGAATTTTACATAAACACAAGTTTCATCCATACAAAATTAAATTAATTCACGAATTAAATGATGATGATTTGGATCGAAGGCAAGAGTTTTGCGAAATTATCGAGCGTATCAACAATAACCCAAATTTCTTGTACAACGTTTGCTTTTCTGACGAATGCACTTTTTCACTTAATGGAGAGGTTAACCGGCATAACTGTAGAATTTGGAGCAATACAAATCCTCATGTATTTCGAGAAGCTCACACTCAACATCCGGAAAAGCTAAACGTTTGGGTAGGAATTTTGGGAGACCACATAATTGGACCTCTGTTTATTCCTGGTAATTTAAATGGCGAAATTTATCTTGAAATGCTGGAAAATGTAATTGATCCGTTAATAACAGAACAATTAAAAAACGATCCTCTACTACTTGAACAACAATTGCATTTCCAACAAGACGGAGCTCCTCCTCACTACGCCGCACCACTCCGCCAATACCTCAATTTGCAATACCCCGGTCGTTGGATTGGAAGAAGAGGTCCTATAGAGTGGCCTGTCCGTTCTCCTGACCTGAACCCTCTGGGCTTCTTCTTGTGGGGACATCTTCAGTCCAAGATTTTTGTGACTCAGCCTGAATTGAATTGTAAATGAGTGTCGTCACATAACTCCAATTATGCTGAACCATGTTAGAGACGGTTTTCAGTCAAGATTGTATTATTGTATGGAAGTCAATGGAGGACAATTTGAACATTTGATTTAAAAACGCAGATTTGATTTTTTGATTGTGATAAATAAAACAACATGATAAAACAATTCAATTTTTTTATTTATAACCAAAATATTCAAGGTTGCTCATTTGAGCTAAAAAATTGATTTTTGGCGAAAACGGTTCATCAAATTTACGTTTTTCATACACCGTTGTAAAGAGGCTTCCAAGACCTTTCAAATGAAGTATCACTCAACCCCTCTCCCCTATTCAATTTTGAGGGGTTGAAGCACCCCCTCTTAGGGGGTTGCTCGTTCAAGCCTCAAATGACGTCAAAAGATGTCCACCAAACAAAATCATTCGACGGGTTTCGGGAAACTTTTCTAATCACTATGGAATAAGAAATATACGGGGTGGCTCGTCTAAAATGGAACACCCTGTATTATAGGACCTGATAAACCCATATAGGGTAAACACACCAGTGTTTAACCTGTTAAGGATTTTTTAATGTCAGTGTTTGACCAAGCCATATTATTTTTCTTGTAGATCCCTCTGCCTTTACATAAAATGATCAAAATATGATCAAATACACATCAGATTTATTTAAAGTTACTTACCCTACATATAAAATATAACATCATAAAGTAATATTTGTTAAAAATTAAAAAGGATTACTGTATCTCGCATTTAGTGTTTGACCACTTTGATTACATTACTTGACCAATAATATCTAGTCTTTGACCTTAAAACCGTAAATGTTTGACCGGTTCTTAATATAATATTCATTTTCATTATTTTTCCATACTATTTTGTTCACAAAAAATGTTTCACCCAAATTTTGTGTTTTCCAACTGGGTTTTTGTAACAGGAATGCTGAATGGAACAACCATTCAACCAGTCGTTTTTCTTCATCAGAATTTAAAAATGTTAGTGGGTCCATTTTCCTCTGCATTGGTGCTTTTCCTTTTACTTTATAAATAAGAGTTAACTTTGGAACATTAAACATCTTGACTGCTTTTTCATAAGATAAACCCCTACTTCTTGCATCGAGAGCCATTTGAAGATCTTCTTCACTATACATCTTTAAACTTAGGCTTCGTTGTCATATTGGTACTGAAAAAAAGTTAAAAAAAGCTTTGAAATATTACTTTCAGTTGTTGAGAAATAAATTTTTGAAATAATCTACAATTTTTTCGAATTTTGTAATTTCCACCGATTAAGTTTTAAAAATTCGAATAAAATCCAGTTCTTGGAATATGAGTATGAAAATTTCCTAAAGTATTAATAAAAGGATCTTCTTTCCAATGAATCAACTCGTTTTGAAAAATAGCTTTTAGTTTTTGAGAAAACAATATTTGAAGTTTTGATAAAATGTTCGATGTGGCAATTTTCATCGATAATTTTCAAAATTCGCTATAAAATTAAATTCTTGATGGATTCTTGTGGAAATATCACCAATTATTAATTAAAGTATCCTCTTTTTAGAGTTGCTTCGTGAGTTAAATCAGCATCAAAAAAGTTCATTTTGTCTTGGATCCAAATAAGTTGACATATCTAGGAAGGGTATCACTTCAGAAACGAGGGTTCCGAATATCCGGTATCGGGCTTTTCGCAAAATCATTATCCGTTCCATCACTAATTCAAACCATTATGATAAAGCTAGGCTTACCAACTATTGCAAGATTTCATAAATGATTTAGATACGTTCTCATCGCCTGATCAATTCAGTTATGATAACATTATCTTATCTCGATCTTAGCCGACATCATCCGTGTCCACCGTGAAAGTCCTAAATGATAGCTGGACAGGAAGTTTATTTATCGACTATCAACTGTAGATGTAATACCTGCGGTATAGTTTAGGATTATTTCGCGAATGAGCAGTAATCACTGCAGTTGATCTTTGTTTTTGCCAG